GCATCGCGACTAGGAGCAACGGCATTGCTACTAGGAGCAACGGGCATTGCTACTAGGAGCAACGGGCATCGCGACTAGGAGCAACGGGCATTGCTACTAGGAGCAACGGGCATCGCGACTAGGAGCAACTGGCATTGCTACCAGGAGCAACGGGCATCGCGACTAGGAGCAACGGCATTGCTACTAGGAGCAACGGGCATTGCTACTAGGAGCAACGGGCATCGCGACTAGGAGCAACGGGCATTGCTACTAGGAGCAACGGGCATCGCGACTAGGAGCAACGGCATTGCTACTAGGAGCAAGAAGCTATTAGGGGCTCCTGGCATGGCTACGAACGAAGCAAGCCTTGTGGCTCAGGCGATCTCAGGTGTTGGTGGTGCCGCAGGGGGAGATTGTGTTTGTTCGTCATCACTGAAATTCTTCTCCTTCCCGGCTGGTCAGCCGGGTGGATGGCAGCATTGTTTGCAATCCCACAGTATCAACTGGTGCAGGACTCGGAGTCCTGCTCTGCTGTTTAAAGCGGTGCAGGATTCTTTTGAATCTGCAGGAGTCACCTTCTAAAGACAGGTTTTCCTCACCGGATCCTCATTGGTATTCCGAGTCAAGACTTGTTCTTCTAGTGACTCTATGGGTCTCTTCCGAATGGCTTTGCAGAGAAAAAAGAAGGTCCAAATGTCTATAGTCTATAGTTTATTTTGCGTTGCAAATATGACTTGGTGCCACGACCCAACGTTATTGAGGATCTTGGAATCAACTATACTCTCGCTGTACATACTTGCTTCCTATCAGTAAAGAGTCACCACCTACGTGAGAACAGTGCCCCAAACAGTGTGTCACACCAAGGATTCTTATGGTAAGTGTAAAAATGTGTAAAGGATTTGGTTCATATTGGTTCATCCCAGGGTCCTTAGGGTCCTTGTTCGTGCCACTGTGTTCCATGCAATTTGGGGTGTCAAAGAAGGTCGGTGTTGGTGTCGGTGAGCTTGGAGTTTACACCAGTCATGGCAGGAGCAATGGATTCCTCAGCGCTAAGCCGCTAAGCGCCGTGAAGCGTGTGAATCGTGAACATTTGAGAAAGCCGTCAATCTTGACAGTTGGGAAAGATTCGCAAGAAAGCTTCGCTTATTCGTGGAAGGTGCAGCACTTTGTGGGCCTTGCAATTCAGATTTCGTGACAGGCATGTCAAAGTGCAGATCTTGTGGCAAGTGCAGCACTTACCTGAGCCACCTGCACACCATCGCAAACACCGGTATCTCCATTACGGCCTCCCCACACTGTTTGAGGTGTCTTGCCGGGATGTTCACAAGTATCTTTTGGAGCCCTTGTTGGAGGATAAATTAGCTTGTTTTGACCGGCAGCCAGATCTCTGAGGCGAAGGTGGTCCCACTTTGCCCTACTCGGCCGCAGGCTACTGGACTCCGGACAGGTGCGCCACTGCAAACGAGACAGGTTCTTATTAAAAACCCCTCCTGAGTTGCATCCTATTCAGCATCCCTATGGACCAACCCTCAAAAAGCAGGTCGCCAAAGCAAAGGAGTACCCCAGTCCGCCCAGCTGAGGGAAGTACAGTCCACAAGTTCCTGAGCAGGGCAGGGCTCAGAAGAAGTTTGTGAAGATTCGTTGCGTGAATTGCAATCAACATCTAGACCTCCCGGGTCATAGACTCACTTTCTTCATGGCGAAATGCTCAGGTTGAGGTTTTGGCCGTGCTTTCCGACCACCGCTTGTCTGGAAGGCGCAGTGTCGTACAGCGTTGCCGGTGGTCCAGAGACACGAAAGCATTCGACCTCATTTGTTAGGGTATTGCTAGCAGAAAAGGCAGTTCGTAGGAGAATGGTATTTTGTTTTTGGACATGCCCGGTCAAGCTCGACCGCCTGACTGGCAGCCGGCTTTTCATTTGCATGTGTTTTCTGCCCGTCTATTCAGTGTTTAAACGATCGCCCCTAAATCCTCAGCTTCAAGCTAGACAGGCGCTGTGCCGGACATCTACGCGGTAAAATGTCTTCTCTCCGTTTGCGACCTGCCAGGTAGTGACGAAGGCGAAGTCGGGATCCGTTTCGCTGCGTGGAAGCCCCGAGCGTGGCCGGAAGAAACGACATATTCATATCATATATTATAAAGAAATGACATATGTATGTTTCATATGTTTCATATTCCACTCAGAATCTGGGAACGTCTTTTGTAACGAGTAACGAAATTTTGAACAAAGCTCCACAGCTAAGACACTGATGTCGAAACAAACGGAAAGGATGAGTTCAACGAACCTCCAGGGATTGACACTGTGTGTTCTTGTGGAGCGATCCTCCTCGATTCCTCCTTTGTCACGATCAAGAAGCAAAGAGGATTTCCAAGGAGCGATGCAGCGACCCTTTTCCTGAAACAAATGCACGGAACATGAGTTGTTTTCCGTTAATTTAAAAGACTCCAATGGAATCTTGTTCTGAGATGTAAAGGAAAGATATTCAGCATCTAGTTATGGATTCGGCCAAAAATGATGGAAACCCCCAAGTGCTAGGCGTGAGATCAGATGGAATCTCACTGGACCGGTTCTCTACCACAGTAAGTCCATGCAATCCACCACTTTGATCCTCGCTTCAGGCCCAAACTTGTGTCAAGAGGGTCGAGAACCAACCAGCGTGCGTTGTGGACAGTGTGCCTATGGAAGCTATGCGCATAATAGTTTCCTGGTTTGCATCTCATCGGGAACCGGGCCAGACTCAGAGATGTTGTCATTTTTGGAACTCCATGCCATGCAACCAGTATGGACAACAAAAAACAATGAAACATATAGAAGCTGTCTTGAAGAGACTCCTTTGGCCACACCCATATTGTAAAACTGATTGCGTCAGAAAGACAAGATGGGACTTTCAAGATTTGGATTCACCATCTCACAGACGATGTTTGATAGGCAGTTTGCAGGTACTTCTTTCTTTCATTGCTGCCGGTCGTGTGGTGTCTTGCCTTTGACACTGGTGCAAATGTTCATCTAAAGTACGTTTAAAATATGCGCGCGCCAGTGAGCCAAAGCTCACTGTGACGTTGCAAGTGTTCCTGAGGTTGGCAGGTCGTGTTTCACAGCAGATGCATTACCACACAAGCCGATGGCAAAGCCCTGCCTTAAAAGAAGCGTTCCTCTTCAACTGCTACGCACTGAAGACATTCTTTTCTCTTTTTTGTGAACTTGACATGGTGCACCTGGTGTGCGACCCTTCATTGTCTCCCATCCAATCTTTCAGAGCGCCCGGCATGTCCGACACCGAGTACCCGTGTCGGCGATGCAGAATGGATAAAAGGCGAAACTTCATGTCACCCCGGGCACCTATCTACAGCATCTACTGTACAGCTACGGATGGCACAGAGTCATTCTTTGTCGTTAGGTCCCTCACACCACTCATCTCGCTTGCATAAGTGCTTCAGCAAGGAGCTTGGGGAATGCTCAGTGGAACGGCAACTTGACACCCACCAGACAACGGCCCTCATCGAATGGCCAGCTTTCGGATCCCAAAAAATCTTCGTAACGCCCGACAGTCTGTTGTCCGACAGTCCACAGTCTCATTCACCACCGTACCAAGTGTGTCCAACGCGTGACCTTGTGAGTGCGACCTGCCTTGATGGTCGTAAGGGGAATGCCACAGTGCTTTGCGCCAGAACCGAAACACAAATTAAAGGCCAAGCGAGGTAAGCGGTAACCTCCTACAAGCCAAAGGAATCGCTGCCAACAAGGAAACAACTGGGATGTCAATCACAAAGTACACCAAAACCGCTGCAATGTTCAGATATTCAACGAAGAAGTGCAAACAAGTTCCAGAGCCTGGATGACGGGATGCCATTGGGGGATCTTGCGATACCCCCGCCATCCGGGAAGTGAGTGGTTGCCGCGACGTTCTGCACCCCGCTGCGAGGGAGGCCTGAGCACCTCATCCTTATCATCCACTGGATTTACCGGCGCGTTCAGACCCTTCCACCGCTATCTCCACAGTTGGGTCAGAATCCCAGCCCCTCCGAACTCGTTGCAACCGGCCGACTACTGTCATTTTTCAGGTGAATGTCATATTTGTAGCACTGCCGACGACTTGATCGCCTGGCTGGGCATGTTCCTTTTCCCGATCCTGATCGTTTGTGCTGCTTGGAAGAGAACGCGCGGGAATTAAACTTGATAACCTCCCAGGCCAACTTGAGACATACGTACCTTCACCAGCTGTTGCGAGGTTCCGTTTGTACAGTGCAAACGTTGTGGTCAAATCTCTTTTAAGCTTTGTATGTTTAGAGGTGTTTGGAGGTGTTCTTCCCAAACGACAGGTCCCGTTCCACATTTTGTGGTTTGGCCTTGATTGGTGCAAAAAGGCCAGTTCATCAACTGCATGTCACATGAGGAACCGTCACCGGTTTTGGCCTGGTGGAGGCAACAGGCTCTAACTCAAACCTTCTGGGTGGTCCTCACTTAGAGAGCAATTCACATGTTTAAAAATGAAGATGATTGAATCAAATGAACGAACGAAAGAAAGGCCGTTTTGAAACAGGAGATTCCTGTTTTTCATATTATTTGTCTATTGTTTTTCTCGTCTTTTGGTATTTGTATGTTTTTGTTTGGCTTTCGATATTCCTCAGACCTAGACCGCTTGGATCCCTGCATCGTAGATCCAGTTCGTGAGAACTTGGCATTGCGGGTGTTGCAGGAAATAGTGCCCGGATCATCAGATGCAGAGATGTTCCTGTAACATCAGGGAAGGTTGAAGCAGAAGATCCAAAGCCATCGTCAAAACCTGTGGTCGCATGTATCCCATAGGTTCCAAATGTTTGAGAATAAGGGATTCAGACATGAACACATCTCGCAACAATGAGGTCTTCATTCCGCTGATTATCCGCCACATCCGATGCTTGGCACTACCGCCAACAATTGGTGCAACAGGAGAGTACAATCAGCGAGTAGATCACCAGATAGCCCATGTTTGAAGAGTCCCGTTGATAGAGTCCCTCTTGTTTAGATGAGGTATGGTAACATCAGCAAGGAAAGAACCATCCATACCAATCATCTAATTTACAGAGGAAAAGAGAGCATGGCAGGTTGTACTTCCTGCCGACGGCAAAACGACCGCGCTGAGGAAGCAGCGATATGTCCCGAACAAAGAAGTCCAAACGATACTCGGCAGGATGCAAGCTTGCTCAAAACAAGCCTTTATCGGCAAAGCAAACAGTAAAACTGATATTGACCCCAAACATGGAGCCATGGCAAACAAATACACTCTTGAGATACCGTGTTGGCTTTCTAGGAATCACGTGCAACTCCAGACCTCTGACAAATCCATCACAATTGTTCGCAAACATAACGAGCGAGTTCCAAGCGTCGGCCGTGAAAGCTCCTTTATGAAAGATGACATGCAAAAGACAAGGGTGGTAAAAAGTTTCAACAAAGAAGCAGAAAGAAGATGGAACCCACGAACCCGAATGCACACATGCGTTCGAGTGACACTTGTAGGAGACTGTTGTAGAAGACTCTTGTGGGACACTCTGGTGCCACACTCTTGACACTCTTGTGGGACACTCTGGTGGGTCGCCAAGAAGCATATGACTCAAGATGCACATATGCCGATGAACCGCTGCAAAGGCTGGACACATTGTTCTAATAACAATCAGGGACCATAAGGGAAAAAAAGCTTTAGCACGCAAGCAGGTACGTGATCCCAGCGTCCCAGGATCATATCAGCGGTGAAGTTGGACAACCAACTGCGTCCATTGGGTTGTCCCCCTGCATCAAAAACTAACCGAAAGGTTCCCTGTGACTCCAAGGGTTTCACACGCACACTCGTCTTGTCTCGCCTTCTTCTCATGTCTTCGTCTGTTTGTCTTTGTGCGCGCACACATGTCCACTCGTCTTGCTCCCCAAGTGGGGGGCGTGTGTGTGTGTGACACCCTTGGAGTCAAAGGGGGCCTTTCAGTTTTTTCAGCAGGGGGGCTGGTTGCTCACGCAAGTACCAGCCCAACGAAGAGGCTTGTATTGAACGCTGATGTCGATGTTGTCGCTCACCGACGTACCTGCGTTCCTTTGAATTGTTGACCTAGCTGTGGCTCCACTCCCCTGTAAAGTGCTGATGGGTTCTGCAGACAAGTGCTCGCCGCTCGCTCGCCTTCACGGACTTGGAACTTTTCTTTAATGACGTGGAACTTTCATGTGGTGACTTGGAGTTTTCAGAGATAGCGCGGCCTTACATACTACCTGTTTTACCCAGGCAATTTTTTCACTTAGGCTTCTTCAGGGCTTGGGGCGATCAGCTCAGCACAAAGGACCGTTGGACATGTATCTGGTTGTTGCTTTCCTTGAAGGAACCTGCACCCTTGGTCTGGTTATTGGGCATGATGAAACAAAGCTCCATCCATCTCACAAAGCAGAACAAAACAAAAAGGGACTTGGCAGAAGTACGTCTGTAGACATTGAAGCGGTCCCGCAACAAACGAGGGCCCCCATAAATGAGTTCACTGATCCTGCTGGAAGAATGCAAGAATTGTGATCCATACCTGACATACATTTCCAACCACTACTACTAGCCATGTGCCGACCCAATCACGCAAAGGAATATAGTGTGACAGACTTGGCCATGTTCTTGGGGAAGCGGTTGACAGGCCCTGCACGGTGCGGTGCGTTTAATCTACACTGAACTGTATGACATGTAGAGATGGAAGACATGGATCCATGTGTATCGAGTAGTTTGTTCACTCTTTGTTTCAGATGTTCGAAGCACTGGAAAAGACCGAGGATTTGCGCTCCAAACGGACACAACTGCCAAAAACTTAAAATTATTTGCTATTTGGCACTCTCACTGCTCACTTGTTGTGTTAAGTTCTTGCCAGCCGCCAAGCCACCTACTGTTACCAGGGAACCCAGAAGCTCTCCCTTCTCTTGGGAGCCAGAATCGCTTGGTTTTGGCTTTGCCGAGGTATCATGGCCCACAAAAGGAAGAGCAAGTTCGGTCCGGATCCTCATCTCTCGGCCACAAAGAAGAACAGAGGTCAATCGAAGCGGGCCCAACGGAGGCCTAACAAACAAAAAAGAATCACAGTTTTGGTCCAGAGTTTTTGACCTGTGATTGGAGGTCCACTGTCAGAGCCCTTCCATCCCCCACCCATCGACAGAGTTTGGACTCCAAGTAGTTTCGGATCCCCACAGCGTGTCCTGCGGATCGGGTGGTTTTGGATCGAACCAATTTGCGGCGTGAACAAATGCGGCGAGGGTCTCCAGGTCAGCCCGGTAAGGATTTTAAGTCAATTTCCCATTCCGAGTCAGAAGTTCAGACGGACTTCGTGCTTGCCCAAACTGAAACTCCTCACTGTTTTCATGGTTGTAGTTGTGGCTGACTTAGTTGTGTTGCTGAGACCTTGAGGGTTAAGTCACCTTCAAACAGTCCAAAAGGTTTACTGTAAGCTGGGGAATAGACCAACATTCACTTCGTTATATTTGCAGTATTTAATCAGTATTTCTTGCAGTGCCGCCCCACACCATCGGCCGATGGTCAACCTGCCTACCGAGGTGGTTTGGGTGATGTGGACCACGGGGAGTTCCGCATGTTGCTCATCATGTGGACCTCCTTGCAGATGTTCCTGGGCATCTCAAGAAGGTTGTGGCATTTTGATCCAGGATTGAATTTTCATGCTTGTGTTTGCTTGAGTTTTTTGATCCCTTTTTCGCCATGAACACCCAAAGGCTGTGGATCGTCTCGTTGATGCCATTGCAGTTCACCAGTGCCTCGGCAGTGACTAGAGGCCTTACTGGTCGGCAAACCCAGTACCCGCTGAAACCGGAATTGTGTGAAGTCTCGTCTTACCTACCCGCGGGTGGCGGGTGCTTGGGTTTTCCCGTTTGATCTGTCTGAGGTTTTGCCGAGTCGTGGCTTTGGGGTCTCGGCTGCTGGGCCAACAGATGGAAGAAAAGAAAAAGAGTCCAAGTAGCTTCTTGTTACTAGTAGTAATGGCCTCCAACCTCATAGCGATGGCCTCCAACCTAGTAGCGATGGCCTCCAGCCTAGTAGCGTCTTTGTGACTAGTAAAGAAATGCCTAACATTTGCACCATGTAATTTGCACAGCCACCACTTGGAACCCGGATATCTCTCTGCAAACATCGATGTTGTTCAGCCGTTCAGCCCAAAGTAATCCAATGCGCTTCTCAACCATTCCTGAATCAGGGGCAATGCCAAAGCCTTTGAGGAATGTTGGTGGTCTCAGTTGGAGAGGTTTGTGAGTGTTGCATGCAGCCGGCAAGGCTCCTGTAATCAAGACCCTACCCTCCACACCATGCAATTGGACAATGGCCCCAAAATGAATGGGTCGCTGTCAGTTTCGTTGAAGACGGGAGCATACCTGGACGAACTGGACTCAGGGATGAGTGTCTTCGACTTCTCCATCTTCAGGCCTCAGTGTGCTTTCCGGCCACTTGGAGCCATCGCGTTCGACAGGCGACCGTTCGCCACGAAGGAATAAAGGGCGGAAAAAAGAAAAGGGCGTCACGCCGCCACGCACGCACACTTTCCACAGCGACCTGGCCAAGCAGGGTGGACGTCCTTTAGCCATCCCGTGTGCCGTGCAGCAAAGCCGCTTCATTACAGGAGCCAGTCGCTTCACTTGTTGCTGCGCCGTTTGCTGCCAGTGTGCTGCTGTGTGTTTTGCTCCTGCTGACACTGCCACTGCGCTCACAAAATCTGAACTTAGGTGCAGCTAAGTCGCTTCGCAAACCACAACCAGCTAAGCACTTCCAAAGACCACTTTGACAAAACGTGCAACCGCCCCGATTTCCGCCTCGATATTGCCCGCCGAAACCGCCTCCAATCTGCACAGGCGAAAAGAATGCACTGCACTTGCGAAAAGTGCCTTCCAAGTCCAACAAAGCGAGCACAACGAGCATAACTTTCGAGGAGCGCGCGTTTTCGGAGCGATTGGAAACCACTCTTCATCTCCAAAAGAACCCCTTCAGCGTCACCACTGTTTGAGAAAAGAAAGGCCAAGAGAGAGAGAGAGAGAGAATGAGAATAAAACACACATCCCAATTTAGCGGATACAAATTGGTTTATATATAAATATATAGAAAAAGATAAAGGTAGGTTTCTCCCAAACAGCACCACTGGTTGCCAGGAGTCCTTGTGGCGAATTCCTCCGTCGATGCAAAAATGTCCTACCTCTACTTCTTACTCGAAAGCACCCGGTCGAGGAAATGCATTGCATCAAAATCATGTTCCAAACTCCGGTTTTCCCCACGGCAGCGTCCTGCACATTCCTGCGTTTTTCTTCCTCATTCTCTCCTTCCTTTCAGGGCGTTCTCCTACTTCGTGAAGTGGCTCACGCAATGGGGGCTGTTCTTCATCATGAGCGCCAGCAGCCTCAGGGGAGGGCTCCCCAAGTGAGTTCGGGAGGAAACGGATCCAGAGAACTTCTCCACCTCAATCATCCAAGCAATTATATAATGTTGGATGGTTGTTCTTAATTGTAAGCCCATCCAATCAGCACCCTTTGATACACTTTGGGGCACTTGAAGTTGCAAATGTTTTTTGTTTCGCTGCCTTTCACGTCCGAATCTTCGCTTTTGACCCACAATGCCACGACTTGCTCGGGTCTAAGAAACGACGGGAGAGTTGGGGGCCCCAACAGCTGACAGAACAAGAAGGAGCAACGTTCAGATCTGATCTTTGCATTTTTTCCTGTTCGTTTCTTTAGGAAGACCTGGCTTCCGACCTTTGTTTTTTCCTTTTACTTGCACATGCAATTTAAACAGTTGATTGGGTAATGCGTTTCGCGGGAGCAATTTCCTGCATTTGCCGCCCTGCCTCAGTCATATGTTTGACACTGTTTGACCAAGTGGCTCGTGCTCAGGGGATTTTAGCTGCAGTGATGTTCATCTACTGTGCAAGACATCTGAGCCTGGAACGCAAACAGTACCCGTTGGTGTGGCCAGAAATGACAGCAGAACCATCACAGAAGTTTGCTGAAGACTAGAGAGTAGAGTCTATGTAGGGTAGCAAGCACAGTTGCAGAACTAGATCGGCAGACCGAGAATCACCTTTCATGTAGGCTGCTTGTCGGTTAAGCTAAGAGGTGGAGCATGAGGGCATTTTAACTAAACAATATCCTATGGCAAACCCCCGAATGACTACAATTGGTTCCAAAAAGAGATGGGTCCGCCCAAGATGAAATACCGAATTTGTTCTTTGCATGCATAACATCATTTGCTCATATGCATGCAAACCTACTTCAAGTTCAGTAACTAGCAATGATAAGAGCCAAGAAATAACCTCCTGCTAGGCATTTCTCCGTTCGGTCAATGTGGTTCAGTGGATTTGCCGAATCGCAGGAATCGACATCACGATCCCTCCTACATCAGCATGAGACAAGGCTTCCTTTGTACCATGTCGGCCACGTTGATGTGCCTTGGCTGCGGTTTAACGACACGGGACAACACCTGACGACACGGGCTCCCAGGGAAACACACAGCAGTTTGCAGCCTATCTAGTCTCTCAACACTGTTTTTGTAAGGGGGACTTGTTGACAACCAGTGTGTAGAAAATTGTCACGAATATGAAGCGGTTTTCTGGTCACAGGTGCAGCCTTTGGCCCAGAGCCGGGAATGGACCGCTAAAGCAGCATGGTCCATGATCCGCCTACGGTGGTGCAGGTTTTGTGCGGTACAAAGCCATGTGGCTGCGGGTCATCCAGTCGTTTCGAACGGAAGTCGTTCTCGGCTTTTTGGTTTTAAGTTGTAAAAGATTGCCTCCTTCCGAAAAATAGACTTCTCCATCTCGGGTTGCATCCTTCCGCATCGCTTTTTGTTGGTAGTTCTTTTTCGCAAGCAGGACACTGGCCGTTGCCCCGGCCCTACTGCATTAACAGAAAGGAGTGCCGTCACTGTCATCAGTTTCCCACATGCTGCTTATGAAGTTCACAGGTATTGACATAGGGTCACTCCAAAATATACGCTAAAAAGTGCAAGCTGAGTTAGGCGCTGACCACGCCGCCACGGTCATCTCGTGTTTGGACGAAGTCAAGCTACCCCTCAAAACACGTTTTGTCAAAATGACGTGAAAGCACTTGATCCCGTGGCACAGTTCGATTTGTATGGCAGGCTTCTCTTGCTAGTGCACCTGCGAGACGACCTGGTCTTCCTGCAATGTGTGGACTGTGAAGATGGCAAGCAGTGTGACTTGGCAGCGACGTCATGGAAGTTGATGTGGCGAAGACAAGGTATTGACCAGAATTGACCGGTGGAGAATATGAGAACTTGTGGTAGCTGGTGGTTTGTGACCTTGTTCTGCGCAATTGGTTCTGGGTTTTGAGCCAACTGGACAAGGAAGTCTCACTGAGAGCAGGCATGTCTTTTCACATTGAGCCAAGCCAAGCAGACTTCAAGAAGCTACATTTGGGAAGTCGTCGGAAGTGGTGTAACTTTGGGCGTCATGTCTCAGAGCATCCCAGGGACAAATTGCGTGAAGCACTGAGGAAACCGCGGAGAGTTAAGGGGGGGTTCCGGCGTGTTTGGGGTGCCGACAAAGGGTGACGAGGAATCCACGGATTCTCAGACCGAGTAATCCGCTTGAAAACTGCCGGAGGTTTGGCTGAGCAGCCCGTGATCTATTGTTGGGACTTCACAGACTGGGCTGCTTGGGTAGCATCGACATTGAAGAACTGAGTACAGACAGTATCAACCAGAAAGGTGCACGGTGTAAAATGCCTTTAAAATACTCATTGCTGCAAAGATGTACAAAATATGGTGGTAGCTGGTCCTTGGGTTATCGGATGACATATTTGTGACGATTTGCCCAACACTGCTAGTTTTATTGCAGAAAGTAAAGCTGGAAAGGTCCACCTAAATCTGAAGCAAAGAATCACACGATCGGCACAGACGGGACAGATGATATGGCAACCACAGAAGATTTGGTTGCCATCAATCAACACTTTGCTCAGACACGTTCCTTTTTTGCCTCTTAAGATATTGGTGTACCTTCAGCTTGGACTTGGGGGACAGACCCTTGAAATGGAGACTCTCACCGGCACACAGAAGTCTACATACTGGATCATACGGATCCTTGAGCTGATTGAATATGGGGCGCTCAATCAAAACCAGACAGGAGAGGACAATCTACTTGAGATTGACCGATCGACGCATGCTTGCCCAGGATAACTTGTTTGGTCAATGATTTGTTCCGAAAACATCCAAAATACCAGACCGAGTACCAAGAATGTCCCAATATTGAAAGGATGTCTAAATGGGTCCTTTGATTGCTCCCAAACCACCTCTTTCATGGGCCTGGGTGTAATAGCTGTGGTCCCAAAAAGATCAGTAATATGTGGCCCTGACCTGACAAGGCAGATTGGGAGCGTATGATCAACACCAGAGTTTTGAATTTTTGTTGTGTCTTGACATTGAAATGTCTAAAGGTGAAGTATCGGACCAGTTTTCATCAGCTCAAACATTCGACCAGTATGGTGACACCCACATCGCTCAGGAATGGACAGCTACTTGTCTGCTTTGTGGTTTGGGGCTGTAGAAGGGATCACAGATCATGGTCGAACACATAGGGATGTTTGTAATATGTTGGATTGGGATTGCAAGAAACTCCTTGGCTGGGCGTTTTGTGTCTATACTTTTGTTGTTAATGTGTGATCGACGATGGGTGCAAGATGTCCAAACCCCAGACATACGACATACCTCCAAGCTTAGGTGTGCATGTTTGGGGTGGCTAGGCGGCTAGAACATCATGGCATTTTCTATGTTCATTTGGATGGGCTGTTGGATTCCCTCGATTCTCATCCTCTTCGGTCACGACAGGCTGAAGGGGCCTGGAACACTGGGAGTAACGAGTGGTTTTTGGCCAATCCGAGTGTCCCAGGTGTCACCGGCTCCACCACACTGGAAAGTGTTTCTGTATGTTGGTGTTTGTGTGTGTGTTTGAAGTATTCTGATGGCATTTCCAGATACTGTATCCCGGATGAGCCATCAAACTGGTGGCGCTGGAGAGCTTGTCCCCGCTTCTCATGTCCCGAGAGTACACCTATAGACCCTATAGACTATAGACCAAGTAAGAACTATGACCTGGAGAAGCTGGTTCCTTGACCCCAAAATTGGTGAAAACATCAAACAGTTCGTTTAAAATAAAAAAGAACTGTTCCATCGCCCCTATCGCCCTGCCCAGACCATGGCAATCTTGTCCTCTTTGGATCTGCTCGTGGTTATCTTGGCATCTCTGCCCATCGTGGCCCTCAGCATTTACAAAAGCTGGAAGTGGCAACATGGGTGGCTCGGGCTGACCTCGCGACCCGGAACCGGTGGGGCACTGGTGGAAATCGGTGATTGCGATCCTTCTCAAAGATTGGAGGAATGAGGATGAGTTGAATAAGGAAGTGATGTCATGGGTAGTGGGGAAATTGTTTAATGCTGTGAGGAAAAGGCAATGAACGTTTGGCGATCTATGGCTTCAAGCTTACCCCGGATGTTCCAGGGAATGTGGGTGTAGATGCACGGATGAACCAACAAGATTTGGGCAGTGTGAAGAGTGACATCCCAAGATGTTACAATGCTATATTGCTGTAGCATTCAGTTTGTTTCCATTCTCGGAGTCCTTACTTGGCACATGCCAGCCTTCCTTCATCCAGAATCATAACGGTCCATTTCGTTTAATGCTTTTTGCAAACTTTTCTTGTATTTGTTGTTTTTGATTTTCCGTCGATCCAAGTCCAAGTGAGTCGCAGGGATGAGATCGGGTTGTCCAAAGACTTCTTGGCTCCTTGGTATGTCTTCTTTGCAGCACCTCGGCTACTTGTATTTTCCCGGGAAGGGTGGGTATTTATGGGTCAAAGCTGAAGACTCCAAATGCGGATTTGGAATTTGGGGGTGTGAACTGGGTGGGTAGTGCATGTGGGCTTGGGTTCGGCCTAACCTGAAAGGAAGCAAAAGACTTTGAGAGTCGCCAGCTCGAAAATAGCTGGTTTCAGCAAAAGGGGTTGGCCAATTCTTGACAGGACCTGTAGGACCTTTAGGACTGCTGGCAGGGCCCACCTGTGAGCCCAACTCCCCCCGTCCACCCTTTGTGTCCTCCGGATGAAGATTGAAGAGCGCTCATGGGGCTCCGCAGGGTCATTGTTGGAGTTTTCTCGGTTTCGTGTTTCTCCTTGATGCATTGTTTGCATGTTGATTCTTCTTTCTTTAGACCGTTAAACCTTTTTCCTATCTATCTAATCTAATGTAATCTGATCTGATCTAATCCAATCTAATCTATCTAATCTATCGGTCTATCTATTTGTTTGTCTGTCTGTCTATCTATCTATCTATCTCTCCCTCGCTTTTCTCGAGATCTCCAGGATCGCCTTGTCAAGATTTGTTTGGCAGATAGATAGTTCAAGTTGTATTGGTTGGGTACCTCTGGTGCCCTTTGTGTGAGACACATCCACTTTCATGTGCATGGTATGTATTATTCATGCTTTTGCTGGAAGTCCAGCTTGTCCGTGCTTAGGAAGATTGGGTGCGGAGGCACCAAGGGTACATCACGGAGGTCAGAGAGGCTGCTGCCCGTTCCGGCCCGTCCAAGCTGAAATGTGTTGTTGAAGTGGCCACAGAGCAGTGTTGACATGTTGATCATTATTTGGTGTGTTTAAGCTGAGGGAACCCTCAATGAGATTGCAGAAACATGAAGTATGGTGGTCTCCACGGTATCCGCATCAAATAAGACATCACAGCTGGCAATTCAATTTTGGAAACCGATTCTACAACATGTCGACAAATCCTCAACGCGAGGCAGTGCCAGAGTTTGAGCAAGCCTACAAAGATCTCCATGCCGAGGGCTTGCATCTGGACATGGGGCCGGGCCTGGGACAGGCTGGTCTGTGTGTGTGCTTTCAGGGTCCTTTAAGCCACTTTAGGAAGGGTTTTTAAGGCGCTGCACAAATTTGGACACCCCAAGCCCACAACGCCAGATACGATTCGATGAGGGCAGCCAGGTCAACTTCCCAATGTTACCAAGGAACGCAGCAAACATGAGTATCCGAGGGAGCCTATGAATTTCATTCAATCGATGGTGCAGATCCAATTCAGGTCGATACCATTGATCAAAAGTCCTGAATATTCCCAAGTAAGGATCGATTCCGTGTTCAATACATGTGCAACAGAGAATCACGTCCTCCTAATTCATGCCTCGATGTGCTCTCGAAAACTGCTCCGAACCAACCAGTAAATGTCCATGCAGGACGCTTGGAGTAAAGCCATTGATATCATTTTGGCCCAAGAAGCGGAGAAGGCGAGGTTGGCGAGGTTGGTGGAAACGTCTCAGTATTTTTGCGTTGTGTTTGTTCTTTGGACACTTCAACAATTTGGTTTGCTTCTTTTTCTCTACACCACCAGGTTCCAAAAGGAGAACCCTATCCCCTTAGTATCCCGCAAGACACTGCCACATGTCGAAATTCTTGGCTGATCCACACAGATGTTGTAAGACCAGGACGGTAAGAAGGAAAAACCATATTCCTCCTGAAGTAGTCCTTTTCTTTCCTTCCTTTCCTTTTCTTTCCTTCCTTTCCTTTCCTTTCCTTTCCTTTCCTCTCCTCTCCTCTCCTCTCCTCTCCTCTCCTCTCCTCTCCTCCCCTGCCCTTCCCTTCCCTTCCCTTCCCTTCCCTTCCCTTCCCTTCCCTTCCCTT